AGATCATGGAATAAATAGTTCCATTCCCTGTAGCACCACATCAGTGACAGAGTCAGAAACAGCGCTGGGATCATCCGGCGAGAAGCAAACCCGCCCTATGGGTAGGAAGCAAAGAAAGACCGCATTCTGTCCCAATCCGCCGACCTTTAATGCCAACCACGGCGGCAACCTGCAGACCGTAACTGCGAGGGGAGCGTGATGGCACCACACTCCGGATCAGACAATGGTCCGAAGAGCCAAGAGGGGCATCGAAGACATTCGAACTTATATATATAAAACATATTAATAATAAAGTAAATCTAAACATGACGGTGAAGTTTTAATTAATTGTACCTGTATTTTTAAGAGCAGATTTGAAAGAAGTATTGAAGTAATATGTACGCACATACGTAGTATTACAGCTATTTATTATCTATCTATAATTTCAAATTAACCAAAGCTATGTCGAATAATAACCCACACAAGCACTTTTTTAGCCAAAGAGTGGTCGAAACATGGAACATGCTGCCATCAGAAGTGATATCTGCACAAACTATTAACCAATTCAAGAACAAATTAGATGAACAACGAAAATAGAATAATTACACATTTGAAAATAGAATACAGGCTTATATCAGTTGTTGCAACTGCTGGCCTGTTAAGCAATAATAATAATAATAACATCCCAAACAAAAAATGTTCGCTACTCACGTCTTCGCGCATCTGCAGGGAAGACTAGTGTGACGCATGCGCGGTTGGTTTTTATCATAGATTATGCGTAGGCAGAATGTTCAGTATGTAATAATCATTCATTAATCAGTATGTAATCATCATCAAAAATATCATTCATCATCATTACAGCCTTTCATAAGTCCACTGCTGAACATAGGCCTCCCCCAAGGAATGCCACAAAGCACGGTCCTGAGCCACCTGCATCCATCGACTTCCTGCATGTCTTACCAGGTCGTCACTCCATCTAGTGGGGGGTCGCCCTACACTTCGCCTACCAGTACGAGGCTGCCACTCGAGAACCTTTCTTCCCCATCGGTTGTCGGTTCTTCGAGCTATATGGCCGGCCCACTGCCACTTCAGCTTACTAATCCGTTGGGCTATGTCGGTTACTCTGGTTCTACTGCGGATATCCTCATTCCTAAGTTTATCACCTAGGGAAACTCCGAGCATAGCCCTCTCCATAGCTCGCTGACCGACCTTGAGCTTCCTCAAACGGCCAGCAGTGAAGGACCACGTCTCAGATCCGTAAGTCATCACTGGCAACACGCAGTGGTTGTACAATTTCGTTTTAAGGTTTTGAGTTATATCTGACGAGAAGATGTGTCGTAGCTTCCCGAACGCTGCCCAGCCGAGTTGAATTCGTCGATTGACCTCTCGGTCGAAGTTGGACTTACCTAGTCGGACTATTTGTCCCAGGTAAACATACTCGTCAAAAACTTCGAGCTTAGTGCTCCCAACAACTATCGGCATAGGTGTGACATGGACATTAAACATAATCTTTGTTTTGTCCATGTTCATCTTAAGACCTATCCGTTGGGAGACACTATTGAGGTTATTGAGCATGGTGCTTAGGTCCTCCAGCGATTCTGCCATAAGGACTATATCGTCGGCAAATCGACAAATTTTTTTGTTTGGTTTGTTAAAATTATGTAAATTATACAAGTACAACTTTTTAAATTTGTCATTTATTTTGCGTATAATATTTGCTAATTTAATATATATTACATAATATTATATTACATTTACTTTTTAATAATATTTTTATTTGAATACTTTAAAAGGAAAAAAGTAATTTAAATTTAAGTTACAGCCTATATACGTCCCAATGCTGGGCACAAGCCTCCCCTCATTTCAGAGAGGCTTTTAGGGCAAGGAAATGTCCGCGGCGCTGCCTCAGTGCGTGTTGGCGAACTTCACATGTTTTCGAAATATTTCTTTTTCTTATTTCTCAGACATGCAGGTTTCCTCGTGATGTTTTCTTTCACTACCCAGCACGTGGTAAATAAATATTTCATTGATGCCGGCGGGGATCGAACGCGGGTAGCTCGCGTACTGTGAAATTTACAGCGAGCGCTAACCGTCTGAGCTACCATGGCTCATTTTAATCGGTAACTATGTAAAATATAAAAAACATACTTAATGTATGTGTAACAAAACTTATTGATATAACATATAATTTACAAATATTATATTTATTTAGATTAAATAAGAGACGTTCATAAATGCTGGGCACGGGAGAGTTAAAAATTGACGAATTTATTCCACTAGTCCCTGTTTTCATGGTTTGGACGTGGAAACCTAAACATAAAATAAAAGAATAGTTATCAAATTTAAATATCACAAATTTAGCCTAATTATGAATACTTCTATTTGTTTCTACAGAACAAAACATATAATATTATGCATAATTTTTTTCATTCAATTTCAAAATTCAATTCGTTTGTACCTACAGAAACGTCGCATCTGTACAAATTAATTTCATAATCTATATTCCATGAGCCGTGGTGGAGTCTTAGGAATAATTTGTTTCATTATTTATCTCTAATACTTGTTTACTCATTAGGTATCTTACTCACCGATGAAAAGTTATTTCTTGGTATTTGTTAATATTTCTTGAATTATTTGTGCAATATCTAAAACACACCATGGCATATTTTATCAAGAATTTTTTTTATATGTATAATAAACACAGCTTGTGTCAACTCACTAGTGCGTAGCGAGCGACAGAGTAAAATGCGACGATATCGCCGCAATTTAATGGAAGGGCGTAACTTAGTGCAGTGTCGCCTCTAGTACAAAAAACTCAATGGAAAGTAGCCCATTGATCTGAGACTAATGTTATCCTGCACAGAGTACTTTTTATATACTGGAAGTTATCCTGTGTCACTAAGAGCCACAACAATTTCTTCTAAAATATTTTTCACATCAATCGTAGATCCTTTCATTCCACTTTCCTAAAGTAAAAGGCAATCGGTCAAGTAAATGCGAAGAAAGGGCAGAAATTAATCAACGCCACCAGATGGAAATTTATCAGTAAATCAATAATAATATCATTCAGTGACACAAGGATTACGGACAAAATAACAATGTGGCTGCTACGGAGCATGCAATGGAGCTTAGAAGGGATGTCGAGAGGCGAGGGCCGATCTTAGCTGTCATATATCATTTCCTATGTCCAATATTCTCGCTATGAAGATTACTGCCCGTGCTTAAGAGAGTATAAATATATTCTTTTATTTAGAGTTATTATTCGTTTTATATATATATGTATATATGTATATATATATATATATATATATATATATATATATATATATATATATATATATATATACATATATATATATATATATATATATATATATATTAAATAGTATTTTGTACGTGGTAAAACCATGCTGCAACTATATTAATTGCATATTTGTAGCATGAATGCGTCTGTTCGACTGGGGAAGGACCACGCTCTCACACAATACCAGCTAAAAATAGCGTCTTAATGCTGCAGTCTTTCGTGTAGTGAGTGTACGAGTAGAGAACCGGAGACCTGTTTTTACTGAAAAAGAGGCATTCCATCTTAGTCCTCGCGGGTGGCAATGCATCTGTATTTTGATTCTTAATCGAGAATAAGCGTAGACGTCTATGGGCTACGGCATCTCCTAACTAATGTGGACTGTGTGCTCACTTATCACCCTTATTCTATAAAAAATGTTTATGTACGTCGGTATTAAATAGTATTAATAAAATCACTCTGACTCGCTTATATTTTAGATTACATAAAATATACCTTCAACCACAATTTCATTTTCAAATCATCTTGATCGATTTACATCTCCCAAATACCTTCATTAGTCCTCTTCGGCTACATACATTTAATAAGTACTTCGGTTTTAGAAAGGTTCACTGAAGTGGTATTCAAAAGGAATCGGGATTACCTGGCAATCGTAATTTGACTGTGTCGTATTAGTACTAATTGCTCAGTAATAATACTATAATTGCCTGATCCTAATTAGTTAAATTCACAACCGAATTGGTCGTTTACCGATAATATTAACGTGATAATGTAGTGTCCAAATTTTGTATTATTTTTACATAATTGCATTTACTACTATTTTAGATACTGGAATTAAATGGAATAAGCGGAACAGACAAATTTATTTGAAATAAGTTTGGTGACACACATAAATATATTAGTATTTTTCTTATGATTTTTCACAAACTCAAGCTAAGTACCCATTGTTATTCATTAATCAAAGAAAATCTAATATATAAAAATTAATGTTTGTTTGTTCGTATTTTATGCGTTTCCACACCGTTTACCAGCCTTCCTCTATTTTCAACCATCGGACAACCAGGCGGTTGGGGTGTCTTCACCCCTTTATTGTCGATATAAATTTCGAATTTTACACAATTTCCAAATTTCGAATATTCTACTGGTGTCTGTCTTTCCGTCCGGTTACAATCTAGGTGCATTGAAGGCAAGATTGAGCTTTTGTTATGCTAAAACGGTGCAATTTACTTACCACCAGGAGGGATTGAAGTCAAGCACTGCCTTATAATAAGTAAAAAATAATGGTATTTATTTAGTTTGAAAATGTCCCTTTACTATCTTGACATGAGAAAATTAGTGTTTATTGTACTTGCTTTTAATAAACAGTTTTTATTCGTATAAGGGGCAAATTCTTCTAGGATATATATATACATATATATATATATATATATATATATATATATATATATATAATTATAAAGGAGAAATAATAAGTTATAGTAACAGTATAAGTAAAGTTTATAGTTTGAGCACTATAAGCCCAACATGTATAGACGCTGAAAAAAATTATAGGTGTCAATTAATGTTACGAATAAATATTATTAGATAATGTATAAATAAAAAAAAAGTTCATATGACTCTTAGTTCTAATAAAATCAAAAGAAGAATGGGAATTTTTGCTAAATTACATGTTTCATATTTTGAAAGTAATATAATATATTTAAGAACTTTTAATACTTACTTCCAGTTACGAAATTCGGCAGCTTAATCGTTAATCGCCTAACTGGCGGTGGACCTGAAACAAGGGTAATTATTTAAAATATAGCTATGAACAAAAAATAAATCGGCAAGGGACAGTCTAGACGGAACTGTGTATACGCCGGGGGGGGGGGGGGTTGGATTTGTCGAACGTGTTAGCCTATTCGGCAACTAATCAAAATCAGGATGATAGTCCCTTTAAAGCACATTTCGTCGTGCGTTTTATGAGTCGTGGTAGCTTTTATAGAAAAGCTATACAGAATACGCAATGTACTACAATGTGACTATGATTTTGTTGTCATCTTTAGCAAATAGGTCGTTTATTTACAATAATCTATTGAATTACTTTAGGCAAATATATAATATTTAAAACTTACCTATTTCATTTTGGGTTTCTTGTAAGGATTACATCTGTTGGTACAAAAAGTTGCAAGCATGACGTTAAGCATTTTAATTTGCATCCAGACAAACGAACTTGGACGAAATGAACTGTAGTTAAGAAAAAGGATATCCCTTAGCTCATTCATTTTTCGTAAACATTACTAAATCTAGTTTTTTTTTTTTCATAAATGTTATCAACGTTTAAAACCTTTTTTTGATGCAGCAATATATTTGTGATAAGTAAATTATTATTATAAACAAACAAACCGACAGTAGTGGTAAATATTGTGTTGTAACTATTTAAAAATTAATTAATTATTAACCACGGTTACTCACTAACAAAATAACATCTGTCACAGAATGCAATGCAAATTTCATGCATGCAGCTCATTATGTTTTCAAACGTTGTATTGGAATTATTAACATAAAATGTAACCAAAGCTATTTAATACATAAAAACGAATATTCACATCGATTATTTTAAAGCATTCCAGCCGTTTACGCTACAGAAGTACATTTAAACGAAAATACACAACATATGCACCCAAAACATGCTCCTTTATATACGTTTTATAATATACGTTTACTCCATTTCCGTCATTTTCTTCTAGTAAATGATTTCCATTGGGATAAGTAATGATTGAGATTACAGTTATAAAATCTTGTGTAACAGACTAGAATTACGTGTCGTTTTCCTTTCATTTAAAATTCTGCTTGTGAATTTAATATGAAGGGATTAAGGTAATATCGCAGTCTGTGTAAGAATACGTTGCGTTGTATCTCGAGTCGATCTTCACTGCTAGAAAATTGTCTCACTAATGACAGACGGCCTGTCCGTAGCCGTGGTTCGTATATAGACACATCAAAAAAGTTTGTGATCACTAGTAAAAGCTGATATATTTTTAAAAGCAAGAGAAAGTGTTTACGTTATATCTTATTAAAAATAAAAATACACTGTTTGACATTAAAAAATAAAACTTCTTTTATTGTTCAATAACAAAATATGAGTAAAGAAAAAGATTGCTTAACCAAACTTATAAAACAATTTATTAATAGAAGGTTTTTATTTAATACAATATGACTCCTCCCCTGGCTCGAACACATCCGGAGATCCTCTTGGGCATGCTGAAGATCAAGTTATCCAGCATTTATTGCGGTAATCTGGGTTTAAGGCAGGCGAGCTGACAATCCTGTCTAAACTTGTGATGTCGTATTCTCGGAGAAGAGCATTAACTCGTTGAGCTCGATGTGCAAGCGCATTATAATCGACCAGTACTAATTGGTGCCCATGGTTTACTCTAAATGGCCTGACAATTCCAAATATATATAATACAATAGCAACTGTTTTGTACCTATCTTCCGTCATGGAGCTTCGATACGGGATCAAAGGCGTTCTAGCTCCAATCATAATTCCTACCCAAAATGACACTGATTTCTCGACTGGCTGAACGGTTCCAGTGGCAGTTTTTTGCCTTTCAGAGTCTCCAGGTCTTTTCCAGACACGGTCACGTCGGTTATCAGGATGAGTAGTGATTCACGATTCGTCAATGAAGATACAGTTTTGCCAAATATTTTCCATTTCATATTCTTCAATTTTCCGGAGACTAGCCCTCTGAAATCTCCGTTGAAGACGTTGCCATGTATCCAGAGGTACTCGCCAAGACCTCCGTGCTCGTAGTCTAGCCTGGTGTAAGTAATTCCGAATGATCTAACTGCTAACTTTAAGACACAGGATTGGTATACAACAGCTCTGCGTGCTATTTCTCTCGTGGAATATCCTTCTCCCCTCAAAGTTACAATTCTCGCTCGTAAAACTTATGATAGTCCTCTTCGCATTTGGCAATCACAACTCTCCTTGAAAAAATATTTTAAATCCGTTAAAATTGTACTTAGTCAAATTTTTGAATGAGCTTACGCTTGGATTGAATTTCTTTTTAAATTGAAAAACAGTTTAATTTGTTTTAGTGTTTTATATTCTAATTTTATAATTTCAAGTAAATAAACTAAAAAGAAGAAGAAATTATAATATAGTCTACCATAACAAAAAAGACTTCGATTTTTCAAACTGATCGCAAGCTTTTCTTGATGTGTGTAATCTATTTCTTTATTTTATAAGTACCTACTTTAATGTATGGTAGTGAAAGTTGGGTGTGGCAGAAGAAGCACGAGAGTAGAATAAATGCTGTAGAAATGCGGTCATTAAGGAGTATGTTAGGGATGAATCTGAATGACAGAGTGAGAAATTGTTTAATAAGAGAAGAGTGTGGTTTGCAAGATGATGTTGTGACCAGGATTAAGAAAGGAATGCTTTGGTGGTTTGGCCATGTAGAAAGAATGAATGAGGAAAGAGTGACAAAGCAAATTTATGTTGCAGAGGTGAACGGCATAGTCGGGAAGGGTCGCCCTAGGCGAAAGTTTATCGACTAAATTGGCGATATATTAAAAATGGGCCAAATGAAGAGTACCTTTAACCGACGAGCGTGTATGCGTAGGTATAAGGATGTGGAGGAAGCGAGAGAGGTGTGTCAGGATCGTGCCAAATGGAAGTCCATAATCTCTGCCTACCCCTCTGGGTGACAGGCGTGAGTGTTTATGTTATGTTATGTTTATTTTATAAGTTTCTATAACAATATTCTATTTTTACTTAAATATACTCACATAATATAACGTATGTTTTAAGCGTACGCTTTGGTACGCAAATAATTTCAGAAAAGTTAATTTTAAACTTATGTACGTACGCATTTAGTTTTCGTTGTGGTATAAATCTATGTCGTGTACACACACAGGCCTATGAAACCTTTGTCTACAACAAACGGGTTTACCCAAGTGTGAAAACAAAGCGTTTCTCAATCTTCCCTTATTACTGACATAGGTATACCGATTCCGGCGAAATGTGCAAACATACGACCTTAAAATCCTTGATTATATATATATCTTCTCCGATTACCTCTATATCCATCTCTTTTATTGGCATTTAGTGAAAAAAAAGAGAGAGAGAGAGAGACTTTATTATGAGCATTTTGCTGACATTGGTTTATCGATAAAGGTTTAAACCCGTCATTAATTACAGGACCGACTGTAACATAGCTAAGGTGATGCTCATTATAAAACTAGTTGTGCCTGCGACTTCGCATAAATTATTGGATTTCTTGGATGACTGCCTCATTGGTCTAGTGATCATGGGTGCAACTACTGATTACGTAACCCCGGGTCAGGTCAATAATAGTATTGGTTTTTTCGTCTCCGGAAATTATTAGTAGCAGTTTGGAGTCAGGAAGATGGTATTGTTTCGGCCCCGTGCTTCAATAAGCACGTAAAGCCGTAGGTGCTGCGCCTGATCTTTCTGCGATCGTGTTAGATTTTCGTCCCTTGGGTCTATGAGTGTGAAGGATTAGGGAGTGTACTTGTGTTGGTTCACACTCTCGTACGCTATAATCCTGTACTAGGCTGATGGCCAGGCTCCATTGAAACTGTGGTCGCCGATTTTGTGCCGAGAAATTGAAATTTAATCTGGAGGACTTACTACTCTTGGATATACATTACTATTTAAGTTTAGTAAAGGTGTTACTTTTTAAGTTTACACTGATATAAAAACTGAGACAATGTTAGAATTATTTTAAATAAGCTTTGTAAATATCTTGCCGATACGCTTTTGCATTCTAGTTCACACAGACATAAAGAGTGAGAAAGCTTTTTTTTACTTTAAATTGGTGTTTGAAGATATCAAAAATTAACGTAACACTATTTGCAGATATTTTTTGGAAAATAACATAAAGATTCTACAATTTTTCATGTGCACAGATTAAAAATAATAAATATTCTTAAATTTTATCATGTTATGGTGCAGTTATGTTATGATTGTAGCGCGAATTGGTCGACGCGACCAGAAAGTACCACGCTTTCACAAAATATCAGCGTAAAATAGCAGCTTAATGCTGCTGTGTTTCGTATGATGAGTGTAGGGAAGTGTAGAAATAGTTTTTACTGGATACGCGGCATTCCATCTACATAATTACGAGGCATACTCCAGGGGTGATAACGCATATGCATTTTGATTGCAAATACAAGATAAATTTAGATGTGTATGGACCACGGTATCCACTTACTATCAGGTGGAATATGTGCTTGTACGTCACCCTTATTCTAAAAAATATGTAAATGTCCGTACATTTATAAGTATTACTAGCGGTCCGCCCCGCCTTCGCACGGGTGATTTCTATATCTTGACATGAGCACCATCACCTATCGGGTCCAATTGTGAATCTACAACCTTCTCGAATAAATCGACAACAGTGCCATCTTACGGCTCTAATCGTGATTCCAAGCCATTTAGGGACCTTTTCAAATACATACAAAAAGAATATTCTGACCAAATTTTGTACATATAAGGGCCATAGTTTGAAAATGTGATTTTTTATTAAGGTCCGCAACCCCTCTTTCGTGTGGAATTTCATAAAATATTTTTATCGGACGTTTAATCGGCGAAAGGAATATTCCTACCATATTTCAAATTTCTAGGACAGATATCGGTATGAGTCAGTACAAAATACGATTGTTTTAATTAACGCCCCCGCAATCCCCTTTGCGGGCGGAGTTTCGTAAAATCCGTTCTTAGCTGACCTCTACTCAGCGAAAGGAATTTTGCTATCAAATTTC